AGGCCCTGGGATTGGTTAGGAGCCGTCACATCCGTGTGCCCTGGAGCGGCCCGCAGACAGGTGACACTCGCGGATCCTGGAGACCAGGTCACCCGCCCCGGAGCCTTGGGCAGAGCTGGGCCGCCTGCCCTGTTAACCAGGCACCCGTTGGTTTGCAGGGATGCGGGGGGTTCTGACTCCTCTCGCCTTTGGCATCCTGGCCTTTGCTGCACTGGGCTGCCCCCTCTGCAGGGTCCGGGCAGGTGGTGTGAGCCCGGGTCTAGGCCCACTTCTGGGAGGAAAGAGCGAGAGGACCCAGGCTGGCCACTCGCTCACCCTAAACCGGAAGCCACTTCCTCTTGCCCTGCTCCCCCAGGCACTCGCTCGCTCAGGGTCCTGGTCACCAGAGGGTGGTGTGTGGCCACCCCTCGTTTGCCGAGAGGAGCCGTCTTCCTACTGGCCACAGGCCCCCCGCCCCTGCCCTCCGGCTCCTAGACTTCCTGTGTTGGATCATCAATGTCCAGAACTGAGGATGCTCGAGGTGACGCCTCGCAACCCAACGCCAAATAGAAGGAAGAGGCCCGATGGCGTCCCTGAAACTCCCGGCCAGTGACCTCTCAGCTGCTCTGCACCGGAGAGAAGCCCGCTGCCCGAGGCGTGAGGAGCAGCGCGGCCTCACGGTTTCCCCCGAGAGCAGAGGAAGGAAAGGCAGCCCAGAAAGCCAACGCAGGGAGTTCCGCGTCCGTGTGGCCCAGAGCACATGGCGGACACGGAAGCTGGAGCCGCGGGGTCACTCGAAGGACAGAGCACAGGCCTTTGGTGACAGAAGCGCTACATCCTAGAGACGAAGATCTTGGAATCCAAGAAGAGGGGAACTTTCACTTTGCGACGAGCTAGTGCAGAGGTGTGGCGGGTGCTCCTCGGTCACCAAGTGCCACGGCCACAGTTCTCGGGGACACGGCCCTCAGCCCCCGCCCCCTAAGGGTGACACACGCAGGACAGCAGGGTGGGGCTGAGGGCTGGAATTCGACTTCCAGTGTGGACCCACTGAATGCAGGGCCCCAAACAAAAATGTGCATACATGTGTCCACACATACATGTACGTGTGTGTGTGTGTGCGCATTGTGTGTGTCCGCCCCAGTGCCCGCCACTGTCACTCTCAGGCTGTGAGGTGTTGCAAGGGCCGACACTCAGCATGAGGTGAGGACCTGTCACCAGAAAAGGCCCACCGAAGGCTCAATGGACTTGGGCAAAGGTGAGTCTTTTCTAACGTAAACGCGGACCACATCACGGACACCGGGCGCGCAGTCCGCCTGGTGGGTCCGACCCTCTTGTCCAGGTTCTGTCGGTCTCCATGGGAGACCAGTGGCAAGGTTTTCACAAAAGGCACAGTGTGAACCATGGACGGGCCGGAGCAGCCAGGAGGACTGAGGCCAGGGCCGGAGTGGGGGGAGGAGGGAGCTGTGTCCAGCTGCTGTCGTGTCCTGCTGGGGGTGGGACTGGGATGGGGACAGCTCTGACCCAAGAGGTGGCCGGAGGGACCTGGGCGGAGCGGCCACAGGAGCATGCTGTGGAAAAAAAAGAAAGCAGGGGCAGGCAGCTGGACGGCGTGGGGGCCCCTTCGGCCCGAAGACGCGGCCACTCCGCAGCCCAGCCCGAGCGCACGGTTCACAGCCAGGCCTGTGGAGACAAGCAACCGGAGGGTTTCTCCTGGGAAGGCTCCGGCTCTGGCTCCTTGGCCACCTTAGGAATCTACAACACAAGCAGAGAGAAACGCTGTTAGAGACGGGGGCAGAGGTCAGGGGCGGGCACAGGGCACGCGCTGGGGGAGGGGGAGAGGGCAACCTTAGAGGGACTGGTTACCACCGACACCACCGATAAGGAACTTTCACGGTTTGATCTCCACGCTTTCCTCCAGGGAAGCCCGCCCAGAGGGTGGCAGCACCCACCCACCCAGCTCATCTTTCTAACAAGTTCTGTTTTGGGAGAAGGAAGGTGACCGGCCTCCCGGAACGAAGCCAGGAAGTGAGACCCGATTCTCAGACCGCGGTGCCGGTCCCTTAGCGTCAAGTGAAGAGGAAGCGTCTCCCGGATGTTTATCATAAACAGTGAAAGTTCTTCATCTCCAGGGGGAGCAGAGACACCAGAGACAGACAGCCCTCAGGTGCACGCAGGGTGGACACGGGTGTCGTCGGGGAAGGGCTTGCCAAGGACAGAATGTTTAGGAAGCATTTGGCGAGGACATTCCCAGGACCGAGGACGAGAGCAGAGTCACTTTCTCAGAAAGGTACAAATCATGGACAACACAGAGAAGATCCGTTTATTAGAGGCGGTACAGGTACAGCTGAGAGGAGCCAGACAGATTCTCTTCTTTCAGGGCGAGGAGAGAGAAACGGTCACGTGGGCCGCATTCAAACAAAACTTACTCAGAACCCAAGCGTCTACAATAAACCAGAGTGGAGCAGCCGGCAGGGCCCTAGCTACCGACAGTCCTCCGGCTTCCCCCGCGGTTACAAAAACAAAAAGGTCATTAGGCAGCGGAATCACCAATAAAACAAACAGATAAGAAGAGCAAAACATTAAAACAACGCATTCAAGTAATCCTCGCAGTTTTTAAGTTGCATATACACACGTGTTGGGGGAGGGCTTATGGACGTACTTCACAGAAAGCAATTTCAAAAACAAAACCGTAAGAGCCAAGTCACAATCCAGGGGCCCACTGGGAGATACTCTAGTCTAAATATTTTGGCAGTTTTTAAAGGGTCACATTGTAGACGCCACACACGCACAAGGGCAAGAGTGCAGACAGAAGGGTG